CTTCATTTATTTCCAAGCTGTCTGGTAGTTCATGAATACTACCCTTAAGCACAGTTCTTAGTAATGAAGGTGCAATGAACAAAGGATTGATATAATTAGATGTGACCACTGTAGAAATTATGTTACAATGTATCATACTTATAGAGGTCCCAGGGAAATAAGGTCAAACCTCTTCATCACCATGGGCCATAGTCATCAAACAGGTATAGTAACCATACAGATCCTTTATGCTTTACTCTTCACACCTTATCAAATCTGTGATGACATGTTAAGTTAGCAACAAGTCTGAACACTACTGTCTTTGCACTGAGTTTCTTGGCTATTTAGACTCAGTTTAGTACCCCCCCACACCTTTTTTTTAAAGAGAGTCTCGCTCTGTTGCCCAGGCTGCAGTGCAATGGCAGGATCTTGGCTCACTGCAACCTCCACCTCCTGGGTTCAAGCAATTCTCCTGCCTCAGCCTCCTGAGAAGCTGGGACTACAGGCATGTGCCACCACACCTGGCTAACTTTTGTATTTTTAGTAAAGGTGGGGTTTCACCACATTGGCCAGGCTGATCTTGACCTCCTGACCTCAGGTGATCTGCCCACATCAGCCTCCCAAAGTGCTGGGATTACAGGCATGAACCACCGCACCCAGCCTCCATTTTTCTTATTGGCTCCCATGACATTGGTATCCTTGATAGTATCACACCATTTCTTTTCATCTCTTTTTGCTGTCTTATATGTAATAATGACATACTTTTTTTTTTTTTTTTGAGACGGAGTTTCGCTCTTGTTGCCCAGGCTGGAGTGCAATGGCACGATCTCGGCTCACCGCAACCTCCGCCTCCTGGGTTCAGGCAAGTTCTCCTGCCTCAGCCTCCTGAGTAGCTGGGATTACAGGCACGCACCACCATGCCCAGCTAATTTTTTGTATTTTTAGTAGAGACGGGGTTTTACCATGTTGACCAGGATGGTCTCGATCTCTTGACCTCGTGATCCACCCGCCTCGGCCTCCCAAAGTGCTGGGATTACAGGCTTGAGCCACCGCGCCAGGCCAATAATGATGTACTTTCTAAAAGTAGTGTCATGAAGATGATAATAATAGGGTAAAATTCAAGCATAGTCCCGGCATGGTGGCTCATGCTTGTAATCCCAGCACTTTGGGAAGCTGAGGCGAGCAGAACACCAGAGGTTGGGAGTTTGAGAACAGCCAGACCAACATGGAGAAATCCTGTCTCTATCAAAAAATACAAAATTAGCTGGGCGTGCTGGCACACGCCTTTAATCCTAGCTACTCAGGAGGCTGAGGCAGGAGAATTGCTTGAACCCAGGAGGCAGAGGTTGTGGTGAGCCAAGATCATGCCATTGCACTGCAGCCTGGATGACATGAACAAAACTCCGTCTCAAAAAACAAAAACAAAAACAAAAACAAAAAACCTCAAGCATAGGGTCTAGTGACATATTTCAGCTGATGTCACAGACCGAGGGTTTTCTGACTCTCAACAGATTGGTTACTGTTTGGACAGACTTTGGTTTGGGTCACCGATAAGATAGGATAACATCCTCTTACCTTTTTTTTGGTCCAGAGAATTAGGCATTGATTAGATTTCTGCAGGCTGAGGTGTGAAGATTGTCAGGTTCTGGTGGGGAAGTAGCCATCTATCATGCTGTAGGAACCAGGTCAAAGGTACATAGTCATTACACTCCTCTCAGACAGTGCAAGATTTATGGGATTGTAAGAAATAAATAAATCAAAATAAAAGAAGAAAAAAAAGACTTATGGGATTGTCTAAATTGAAATCCTCTCCTCTTCCAGGAAAATCTCCTACATGTTACATGCACTCTCATTACAATCATAATTCTAGGGTTTAGGTTTCTTTTATTTTTTTGAATTGCCCAAGAGTTTTTTTTTTCTTGTACAAAAACAGTTAACACCACTTTGCAAAGGGCATACAAAAATACAATTAAAAAAAAAAAAAAAAAAAAAAAAAAAGACTCCCCTCAGCATGATACCAAACAGCAGCTTATAAAACACAAGCTATTCAGGTGAGACATCCGTAACCTACTGTTTCGGTTTCTGACCGAAGTACCAAGCTTGGATTTTTCTTTTTAAAGAGGCAAGTTCGTGAGAAGGAAAAACACCAGCCAGGATAGAGATAGAAATGAAAGAATTTATTTACAGAATGGAGGTACAGGATAAAAATGGAAATGAGAAAGTTATTTACAAGGTACCATACCCAGAAGAGCCCCTTCTGCACATCAACACCGGCAAACAGCAGCACGGGTTATCGCAAGACAGTCGTAGCGCTTCCTTTCTTCACACTAACACTGGCAAATAGCAGCACGGGTTAATGTAAGACAGTAGGTCCCTCTTCTCACACCAACACCGGCAAATAGCAGCACCGGTTAATGTAAGACAGTTGCAGCGCTCCCTTCTCACACTTGGTTTTTGTTAGATGTCTTTTATATGTTTCATATGAGGTCAGGCGCAGACCTCCTCCCCTTGGAACTATGCCTTCATTATGTAACCTCATCCTTGAAGTTGTTTATCAAAATTGCAGGCACAAAAATTGGCCAGATTTCCATGCCTTATCAAAAATATGTCTGGGGGCCGGGCGCGGTGGCTCAAGCCTGTAATCCCAGCACTTTGGGAGTCCAAGGCGGGTGGATCGCGAGGTCAAGAGATCAAGACCATCCTGGTCAACATGGTGAAACCCCGTCTCTACTAAAAATACAAAAAATTAGCTGGGCATGGTGGCGCGTGCCTGTAATCCCAGCTACTCAGGAGGCTGAGGCAGGAGAATTGCCTGAACCCAGGAGGCAGAGGTTGCGGTGAGCCGAGATCATGCCATTGCACTCCAGCCTGGGTAACAAGAGCGAAACGCTGTCTCAAAAAAAAAAAAAAAAAAAAAAAAAAAAAATATATATATATATATATATATATATGTCTGGGTACGTTTGAGCTCGGAATGCTCCCAGACACTGTTCAAGGAAATGAAGATAAACTATTTTTCTCAAGTGGAGTTCTGGTCATAGCTCATGTCCTTAAATGCCCCTACACCTACACCCAAACTGTCCTCCATAGACAGTTCCAAAGTCAGCTGGCTTTTGTAAACCATGCTCCAGAAGGGTAGAGAGGCTATTTCCAAACATCCCCTGGGGTCCTTTGAGGCCAAGAAGCAACCTCAGAAAGAAACCATTATGGAAAATAGATTTGGAAGTAGCAGCTGGTTTTCTAGAGCCACATATAGTACTTACCACCCCTTATTCACCCCAACTTCCAAACCCAGAGCCAGAAGGCACCTGCTGTCCTGGGCAGAGTTCTGGAGGGGCTGCTGGTCCTTCTTCCAAGACAGGCCTAGAGATGCCTGTGGTTACCCACATGACAACTGCTAGGTTGGGTGATTTTCTCAGACTGGAGGCTGCACCTGGATTCCACTTGGAGCTGCCAAATCCAGCTGAGGCAACAATGATGGATTCATCATGGTTAGCTGAGCATATCTCCTGGGGGCTCCTTTAAAACCCACCAGAAGCGAGTCCACCTTCTGGAGCACTGGATCCAGAAGGGCTCTCCCCAAAACTTCAGAAAGGCTCAGATTATGGGAAAGAGATCTGATTCATGGCAGGCTAGCCGGGGCTCAAAGGTGGCCGCAGAGCCAGCAAGCTCCTTGGCGTTGCACAAGGACATATTTGCATGGTTCCAGAACTTCAAACTTGCTGGTCAAGGGTTTAAATGACCAGCAGGTGGGAGGAGGAAGCAGTACAGTTCTCCCTCTGAGGTGTCTTACACCTGCTTCGAGAAAAGATGGGGCCTCAAGTGCCCCTCCGAAAACACGTGGGCAGGGATCAGGTTCCCGAGCCAGGACTCCAAGCTTTCCCCAGGCCCCAGGCTAGGACCCATTTCCCTGTCTTGGGGAAATACTTCTGACCTGTGGGAAACGGTGCTGTAGAGCCCACTGCATAACAAAGGCATAATGAAACAAAAAAGTCCCTTGTGAGGAAAGAAAGGTCCCTCCCTCAGAGGAGAGGGCCCAGAGGGCTCTGACTCAAAGAATCTAGAGGCCAAGCTCTTTAAATGTTCCCAGGGTCGCAGCATTTAGAGTGGGAGGAAAGGGGTCAGCTGACATCATTATATATATATTAAAGGTTTCCAACTCCTCAGCTACTGTAAAGTGTCTGACAGTCCATGTTAATCAACTCTGCGAGCTTCTAGTTACCTAAGACAACTCAAGTGTCTTCTGGAAAAAGGAGCCTCAGGGAGAGTATTCAGGCCCAGCTGTCCTTGCATCACCCCAGAGACACCAGTTGGGAGTATCCTTTCCTAGCCTAAAGCTCATGCAAGGTGTGAGATTTCATGCAGGCTGGAGCCCCTGACAACATCCACCACCTGTTGCATAGCATCTGTCAGCCTTTTCTTTGGAGCTAGTCAGCTAGGCAGACCCCAAGGCTCCTCAGTCAGCTGCCTTCTTGGAAGCCAAAGGCTCCAGAGAACGTATGGCACTCCCATGAGTCAGGGAAGAGGGAGAGCCGAGTTTCAAGGTTTCCAAGAATGCAAACCTTTATTGTGTGTGCGCCGGCTGCAATGCATTCTGGGATCTACTGTCTTGCCATAACCAAAATGTGCAAATTACTAAAGGGGAGAGGGAGGTTAAAAAATAAACTTGTGGGCCCGGCGCGGTGGCTCAAGCCTGTAATCCCAGCACTTTGGGAGGCCGAGACGGGTGGATCATGAGGTCAAGAGATCAAGACCATCCTGGTCACCATGGTAAAACCCCGTCTCTACTAAAAATACAAAAAATTAGCTGGGCATGGTGGCGCGTGCCTGTAATCCCAGCTACTCAGGAGGCTGAGGCAGGAGAATTGCCTGAACCCAGGAGGCGGAGGTTGCGGTGAGCCGAGATCGCGCCATTGCACTCCAGCCTGGGTAATAAGAGCGAAACTCCGTCTCAAAAAATAATAATAATAAAATAAAATAAAATAAAATAAAAATAAAAATAAACTTGTGTCTTTGTTAAGACAGAACAGTGAGGCTTTCTGATCAGTAGCCACTGACGCATGCAATTCGTTTCTGCAATTGCTGCTGCTGGCATCGGAGCTGCCTTTTCTCCATAGCCATCCACTTCTCAGCCACCACAAGGGCTTGCAAGTATTCCAAGGCCTTGATTAGGATCGCTACTTTACGGGCCTTAGAGCAGCACATGGCCAGGGTGGGCACCTGGTCCCTCAGGGCCAAGAACCGCGAACGCAGATCATTCCGCCTCTTGCGCTCCAGAAAGTTGTGGTTCTTGGGGTGGCAGGACTGGGTAGCCTCACTTTCCGCAGGTGAGGGCCTCACAATCTCTTCATCCTCCTCATTTTCCTTTTCCCCTGCAGCATCTTTCTCCAGAGCCTCCTCTTGGGGACCCCTCTCTGGAGCCTCTTCTTGGGAGCAGCTTTCCAGAGGAAAACGGGCAGCATAGTTGTGCGGTTGCTGATGGTGGGAGGTGTGGAAGTGCTTCATGCAGGGATCCAGGGGGTCTGCTTGCACCGTGACGGTGACCGGCTTCCGAATACCCAGAAACTGCCTCTTCTCTACTGTCACAACATCGATTTCTTCATTCTCCGAGTCACCTGGGCTCTGGGACCCGGAGCAGGCCTGGGTCTCGGGTTCGCCCAGGGGACTAGGGGCGGCGGGTGCCGGGTTGCAGGCTTCGAGGCCGGGAGTGCAGTCCGGGGTGGCGGAGGCCTTCAGCAGGTTCCCGTGGGTCACCCACCGCTCTCTCCAGCCGTTCTCGGGCCGAGAAGCCACTCCACATGCAGTCCCAGCGGATGATGGAGACATAGTTCCTGCCCCAACCTTTCGCGTGGCCCCGGGATTCTGCTTAGTCTCCGGCGCACCCTCCAGGCCAGGTCTGAGGGGCCCAATCCCGGGTCCCGGGTCCCCTGCTCCGGGAACCAAGCCCCAGGGCGGCGACGTGAGGGGCGATGGCACCAGCTCGTATTTCTTCCAGATGTTCTTGCTGGGCGCTGTGGAGTGGCAGAAATCCTCCCTGCAGTCATAGCCACCTGGAGTGGTCAGACCAGCTTCCTGCCGGCTCGGGCTAGTGTTTAGGTTTCTAAGTGGCATAACTTCACCAGGGTAATTTTTGCCTTCATTGCTTACTGGGAGGAACATTTCAGTTGGAAACAAACAAACAAACACAACTTAGTTTTAGAGATGCATTAGAAAAGAAAGGAAACAAAATTTACAGGCCCAGTGGGCAGTTTTTTATTGGAATGAATTTTATTTGTACAATCTCCAAGGTTCTGAATCAAAAATAGTTTCAGTAGATATTTCCTTGAACAAAGCCATTGAATGATTTAGCAAAACTAATTAAGCAAAAACTAATTTCCTTCCCCTCCTTTTCCTCCAGTTGCTGCCTTACATCTAGCTCTTCCACTTCCCCTTTACCCTTCTAATCTTTCTCCTTCTGCACTTCCTCCCCCCTCTACCCTTTGCCCAGGCCCCCTACATTTTCCCAACTAATACCCTAAAATTCCAAAATGCCAATTACCTCTAAAGATCTGTACTTTGAAGAGCCAAGTATGTAGACAACTGTCAGACATAAACCTTGGACCCATGCTGAATTAACAGCTGCAACTACAGATTTTCCTAAAGCCAAATAAGACTAGCAAGTATTCACAGAGGAATTTAGAATTATTTCATACGCAGATGACCCAGAGTTATGTAACTTACATGTTTTAAACATTTGTCTTCTCCAAACTCACGCTGAAATCTAATTGCCATTGTGACAGTCTCAAGAGGTGGAACCTTTAAGAGGCATTTAGATCAGGCGTCCGCATGCGGCCCCCTGAGGCCATTTCAGGAAGGGGCCCCTCTTCATTGCACTTCAGGAAGGGGCCCCTCTTTCATTGGTGGTCAGAGAGAGGAGCACAGTATGTGGCGGCCCTCCAACGGTCTGAGGGACAGTGAACTGGCCCCCTGTGTAAAAAGTTTGGGGACGCCTGATTTAGATCATGAGGGCTCCATCCTCATAGGTGGATTCATGCTCTCATCACAATAGGTTCTTATTCCCCCTTGCTCTCTTTGCCCTTCTGCCATTTGATGCCTTCTGTCATGTTATAATTCAGCGAGAAAACCCTCACCAGATGCTGGTATCTTGGTATTAGACTTCCCAGCCTCTAGAACTATAAGCCAATAAATGTCTCTTCTTTGTAAATTACCCAGTCTGTGGTATTCTGCTATAGAAGCACAAAGCAGACTAAGGCATGCCACTTGTATACATGTTGGTGTGAACCTCAGATGATAAATCCTGAATGACAAAAGGTGATTAGACTGACCCAGATAGGGAGCTACAGGGCACCTTTTTCCACAATAAAACTATGGGTCAAAAAGTATAGGAAATTAAAATAAAGTCTCCTAAAAGCCATACCAAATGTTTTCAATCAAAATCCATTTGAACAGAGTAGCTACAATTAAAAGAAAAAGAAGACAACAAGTGTGATCAAGGATGTGGAAAAATTAGAAACATGTGCCTTTTGATGAGACTGTAAAATAATGCAGCCACCATGGTGGCTGTGCACCTGTGATCCCAGTTACTCAGGAGGCTGAGGTGGGAGGATCACTTGAGCGTGGTATTGGACTGTGGTGAGCTGAGATAACACCACTGCAACACTCCAGCCTGGGTGCCAGAGGAAGACCTTTGCCTCAAAAAGTTAAAAAATTCACCAGGCATGGTGGTGCACACCTGTAGTCCCAGCTACTTGGAAATCTAAGACAAGAGGATCTCTTGAGCCCAGGATGTTAAGGCTGCAGTGAGCTGTGACCATGCCACTTACTCCAGCCTGGGCACACAGCAATACCCTGTCTCAAAAAAAATCATTTAAAAATAACATATTTTTTTAATTGAATTACATGTGATCCAGTTATTTTACTTCTGGGTATATACAAAAAGAAATTAAAGTAGGGCTTCATAAAGATAGTTCTACACCCATGTTCACAGCATTATTATTTCTAGTAGCCAGAATGTGGACACAATCCAAGTGTTTACTGATCAATGACTGGATAAAGAAAATATATATACAATGCAGTATTATTCAGCCTTAACAAGGAAGGAAATTTTGACACATGCAACAACATGGAAAAACTTGAGGACTTATTGTAAGTGAAGTAGGCCAGTCACAAAACAACTATATTTGTATGATTCTACTTGTATAAGCTACCTTAAGTAGTCAAATACATAGGAAAGTAGATAGGGGTTTCCAGGAAGAGGGGAGAGCTAAAACTAGAAGTTCCTCAATTCAGATCACTGAGTGTCTTATGAGAAAAGGTAGTGTCTAATATCTTGCCATACCCTTAAACCAGGCATCCCCAAACTTTTTACACAGGGGGCCAGTTCACTGTCCCTCAGACTGTTGGAGGGCCGCCACATACTGTGCTCCTCTCACTGACCATCAATGAAAGAGGTGCCCTTTCCTGAAGTGCGGCGGTGGGTGGGGGGGTGAGGAGCGGATAAATGGCCTCAGGGGGCCACATGCGGTCCGCAGTCCGTATTTTGAGGACGCCCACCTTAAACACTCAGATTCAAATATAAATGTACCTGATCATCCTCATCTATTCCTGGTAGGTAACAGGTGCTATACTTTCTATATTAAATCTGGTCAAAATAATAGTAACAGTAGCCAAGTGTGGTGGTGCTCACCTGTAGTCCCTCAGTCTACTTTGGAGGCTGAGGCAGGAAGATCATTTGAGCCCAGGGATTCCAGGTGGCAGTGAGCTATGATCATGCCACTGCACTCCAGCTTAGGGGTCAGAGTGAGATCCTGTCTCTAAAAACAAAGTAAACAAACAAACAAAAAGGCAAAACAAAACAACAGTAAGAAATAAATTTCTTTTCTCTACAAATTACCCAGTTTAAGGCATTTTGTCATAAGCAATGGAAACTAAGACTAATGCACTGCTGTAGTATGTCTCACATCACTTTTTCATTCTGGCAAAGAGTAATTCTGCTCTCAATCCACAGCACACGGTGAACAGAACCCCAGGAGTAAATGTAGCTTAAACAATATGACCTTTATCATCGGCGGGGTGGAGGGGGGAAGGCAATGCTTAGGTGAAAACTGACTGGGTTGGGCAGCTTGAAAGGTAGAAAATTTATCATCAACATTATCAGACAACTAATAATATCTCTGAAGAAAGGAAATCTCTACAAGCTGCCAGCTGAAGTTGGCCTGTGTTCTCTGTCCAAAATTGGGTGATATCCACACCCAAAGCAGTCAGGTGAATAGGAATGAGGCCCCCCAAAGGGAACAAATGACTGAATACTCCAGACAAAAGTAGAGAACACAGCAATCTATGCATCCACCCCATCCAATATTTTTAAAAACTATTTAATCACTCTCTAAGTAATTTAAGGTGACTAAGGTGATACACACTGTGGCACCATGCCAGCTAATGGCAGGAGTCTTCAGCAATAGACACTTTCAGCAACTTAACTCTGGAAGGGCCCTAGACAGGTCAGAAAGTGCAATATCATTCATAAAGACTTCCCATATATCTGACAATTATAAAAAAATCTCCCTTCTGTGGATGTTTAGATGTGAGATTCAATTTCAAGCTAAGATCTCCCTCAACAAGCAAACACAGGGTTGTCCAAGGGAAAGAATACAGTAGTGGGTTCTTAGCTTATTCCCAGCTGGGCCAGTAAAGCCCCTTTCTCAACTCATTCCTGTTTTCCACTTATTTATTACTGGTGACAGAAACAAAACCATGGCTTCAGGGTAAAAGCCTAAAACAAAACAAAACAACAAAATAAGGTGGGTAGGACAAGCTTGATAGAGCTTTGCTATTTTTGAACAGTTAACAAAGGGAAAAACATACTGCCTGCATTCCTAAGGACTTTCTACAGGATGAACTTAACTTGTGCTCAGTAAAGTTAGGCTAAAGGCTTTCTAACATTTGTGGCACTCATATTCTATTAGTTGTATAGTCTTTTTTTTTTTTTTTTGAGACGGAGTTTCGCTCTTGTTGCCCAGGCTGGAGTGCAATGGCACGATCTCGGCTCACCGCAACCTCCACCTCCTGGGTTCAGGCAATTCTCCTGCCTCAGCCTCCTGAGTAGCTGGGATTACAGGCACGCGTCACCATGCCCAGCCAATTTTTTGTATTTTTAGTAGAGACAGTGTTTCACCATGTTCACCAGGATGGTCTCGATCTCTTGACCTCGTGATCCACCCACCTCGGCCTCCCAAAGTGCTGGGATTACAGGCTTGAGCCACCGTGCCCGGCAGTTGTATAGTCTTAAGATATAAAGGTGTTTTTCTGATGTCAGGACATGTCATAATGATACTCATAAAATGCAGACCACTTCGGTACTTACACCTTGAAACCAAAGGACATGGGCAGGGCTGCAACAGTTAGGAGGGAGCTCAAGGTAACAGCAAACTGGAGCTGCAGGGGGCAGTTTGTATATGCCTTGTGGATTGGGGTTAGCTAGGTTTTCAGGGCTCCCTGTGCACTGGCCAATGTGAAAAATTTTATAAGCTCCTGGGCACAGGAGCTGTTCCTCGATATCTGACTCCTGGGCGTTGGGTAATTAGGTCTCACATATTATGGCCCAGAGTTTGAGAGTGGCTGGGCATGTGAACTTAATCAGCTGCTCCAAAATTGGAACTGACAAGCCTCTAGCAACGTCCTTAATTTTAATGCTGGGCAAAAACATTATTCTTTAATGTTAAAAAGAATTAATGCAAAACAATTAACTTGCTAAAATGAACTCAAATGCATGAAAGACTTATAGATATATTTGATTCCATTGAAATTTAAAGCTCCTGTGCAAAACATGACATAATGGACAGGGTGAAAAGAAAACAGACTCAATGAGCTGGGCATGGTGGCTCACACCTGTAATCCTAGCAATTTGGGAGGCTGAGGTGGGTGGATCACCTGAGGTCAGGAGTTCAAGACCAGCCTGGCCATCAATGGGAGAAAGTATTTGAAAACCACATAGCTGATAAGGAGTATCTAGAACGTAAGTCTTCAAATGTTTCATGAAAAATATAGGTTAAAAAATTGGCCAGGCACAGTAGCTCATGCCTATAATCCCAGCACTCTGGAAGGCTGAGGCAGGTGGATCAGCTGTGGTCAGGAGTCGAGATGAGCCTGGCCAACATGGTGAAAGCCCATCTCTACTGAAAATACAAGAATTAGTCAGGCATGGTTGTGGGCACCTGTAATCCCAGCTACTTGGGAGGCTGACACAGAAGAATCACTTGAACTTGGGAAGCAGACGTTGCAGTAAGCCGAGATCACACCTCTGCACTCCAGTCTGGCAACAGACTGAGACTCCGTCAAAAAAAACAAACCAAAACAAAACAAAAGAAACGGAAAAAATTATGTATGGATTTCAATTTTTTACATCAAAACTTGTTACAACATGTATGAACAGGACCTAGTTTGAGGCACTAAGAATGGCATCACTTTGAAAACAGCTTCTATCAGAAGAATGTGAATTCAGCTAAAGTTGAAGGAAGAAATTCATCTTGTTCATTACCTAATTGAAGAAAACCGATGATTAATAGCAGAAACAATGACACCACAGACATCTGAATTGGTTCAGCTTACACAAATTGTGACTGAAAAATTAAAGTTGTGTAAACTTTCCACTCAATGGGTGCCAAAGCCACTGAATCCGTTTAAGCTGCAGACAAAAGAACCTTCAATGTAAATGTTAAACAAGCAGGATCAAGATGCTGAAGCATTTCTTTGAAGAACTGTATAAGAGATGAAACATGGCTTTATATCACAATCACAATCAAAGCAAGAGCTACCAAGCATCAGAAGTGGTCCAGCCAAAGCAAATCAAGAGCAAAGGTCACAGCAAGTTTTTTGGGATGCTCCAAGTATTTTGCTTGTTGGCCTGGTAGACGGTGAAAGAACAATAACATCTGATTATGAGAGTTTGAGATGAAGTTTCACTCTTGTTGCCCAGGCTGGAGTGCAATGGCATGACCTCAGCTCACTGCAACCTCCATCTTCCGGGTTCAAGCGATTCTCCTGCCTCAGTCTCCCGAAGAGCTGGGATTGCAGGCATGAGCCACCATGCCTGGCTAATTTTTGTATTTTTTAGTAGAGACAGGGTTTCTCCATATTGGTCAGGCTGGTCTCAAACTTCTGACCTCAGGTGATCCGCCCACCTTGGCCTCCCAAAGTGCTGAGATTAAAGGCATGAGTCACTGTGCCCGGCCTGAGAGTTTTGAGAAAGTTAGCTAACGCTGGCAGAAAACCCCTGGGAAACTTCACCAGGAATCCTTTTTCACTATAATGTTCCTGCTCATTCCTCTCATCAAATAACTGCAATTTATGAGAATTTTGATGCAAAATCCTAAGGGATCCACCAAACAGTCCTGATTTGGCTCCTTCTGAATTTTTTTGTTTCCTACTTTTTTTTTTTTTTTTTTTTGAGATGGAGTTTCACTCTTGTTACCCAGGCTGCAGTGAAATGGCACGATCTCGGCTCACCGCAACCTCCGCCTCCTAAGTTCAAGCAATTCTCCTACCTCAGCCTCCTGAGTAGCTAGGACTACTGGCGTGCGCCACCATGCCCAGCTAATTTTTGTATTTTTAGTAGAGAGGGTTTTTTGTTTGTTTGTTTGTTTGTTTTTTTGAGACGGAGTTTCGCTCTTGTTACCCAGGCTGGAGTGCAATGGCGCGATCTCGGCTCACCGCAACCTCCGCCTCCTGGGCTCAGGCAATTCTGTCTCAGCCTCCTAAGTCGCTGGGATTACAGGCACGCGCCACCACGCCCAGCTAGTTTTTTGTATTTTTAGTGAAGACGGGGTTTCACCATGTTGACCAAGATGGTCTCGATCTCTCGACCTTGTGATCCACCCGCCTCGGCCTCCCAAAGTGCTGGGATTACAGGCTTGAGCCACCGCGCCCGGCCGAGAGGGGGTTTTACCATGTTGGCCAGGATGGTCTTGATCCCTTGACCTCGTGATCTGCCTGCTTCATCCTCCCAAAGTACTGGCATTACAGGCGTGAGCCAGTGTGCCCGGCCCCAAGGCAATGTATTAATCACATGTTCATGGTGATGCTGGTATAAACAAACCTATTGTGCTGCCAGTCATATACAACTATAACATATACAATAATGTACAGTACATACTAGTTACTAGCTTATGTTCTTAGTGTACTACATTTTTTATCATTAGGTGTTCTCCAACATTAGAGTATATATGGAGTTGCGTGCATATACATACAAACACAAACTGTAAGACAGCCTCAGGCGGGTCCTTCAGGAAGTATTTCAAAAAAAGGCATTGTTATTTTAGGAGATGACAGCTCCATGTGTGTTATTGCCCCAGAAAACTTTCTGGATCAGGACGTGGAGGGTAGAAGACAATGACATTATCCTGATCCTGTGGAGGCCTAGATGAATGTGACTTAGTTTTTAACAAAAATAAGTTTAAGGAGTTAGGATATAAAAAATATTTTTGTACAGTTATACAAAGTTTTAAGCAAAACATTACAAAATATTCAAAGTTTTTAAAAATACAAGCTTATAAAGTAAAAAATGGGTCAGCTAATATATTAAAGAAAAAAATATTCTATAATTTTGTCCAGCTTGGCATGATGACTTATGCCTGTAATCCCAGCACTTTAGGAGGCCAAGGCAGATGGCTCACTTGAGGTCAGGAGTTTGAGACTAGCCTAGCCAACATGGTAAGACCCCGTTCTCTACTAAAAATACAAAAATTAGGGTATGTAATCCCAGCTACTTGGGAAGCTGAGGCAGGAGAATCCCTTGAACCAAGAGGTGGAGGTTGCAGTGAGCCATGACTGTACCACTGCACTTCAGCCTGGGCAACAGAGCAAGATTCTGTCTGAAAAATACTACTACTTAGTGTTGCCTAAGCATATGGTATCTATAAAGTCTACAGTACAGTAACATCCTAGGCCTTCACATTCAACCACCACTCATTGACTCACCTAAAGCAACTTTCAGTACTGTAAGCTCCATTCATGGTAAGTTCTCCATGTGGGTCTATCATTTTTTCTTTCATATTGTATTTTTACTTTACCTTTTCTGTTTAGATATACTTAAAAACAATTACTTACCGTATGTTCCAACAGCCTACAGTATTCAGTACAGTAATATGCTGTACAAGTTTGTAGCAAGGTGCTATAGGGTATACATCCTTGGCATTCATACAACTAAAAAAAAAAAATCACCTATTAACACTTTTCTCAGGACACTTCCCCATTGTCAACCAACACATGACTGTAACAATTTTATTCAGCAGTTACAAAGGATAGAAATTCTAACAGATTACAGAACATGAAACCTTAAAAATATTATGTTAAGCAAAATAAGCCACAATATAAATATCAAGACCAAAACTTAAGTTTTCTTATATGAGGTACCTGGACTACTAAAATTCAGACAGAGTGGTGCTTGTCAAGTGGAGTGGGGAATAAGGTTTTAAAAGTATAGACTTAGTTTCCTAAGTTGAAAAGACTTCTAGATATTCATTGCACAATGTTAGTGACTTAACACTAGTGAACCATACACTTTAACATGGTTAAGATGTTAGATTTTATGTTATCTGTATTCTCAAAGAATACTTTTTTTTTTTTTTTTTTTTTTTTTGAGATGGCGTCTTGCTCTGTCACCCAGGCTGGAGTGAAGTGGCAAAATCTTGGCTCACTGCAATCTCCATCTGCTGGGTTCAAGCAATTCTCCTGCCTCAGCCTCTCAAGTAGCTGAGATTGCAGGTATGCACCACCATGCCTAGCCAATTCTTAATATTTTTAGTATAGATTGGGTTTCACCATGTTGGCCAGGCCAGTCTTGAACTCCTGACCTCATGATCCATCTGCCTTGGCCTCCCAAAGTGCTGGGATTACAGGCGTGAGGCACCACATCCAGCCAAGAATACTTTTTTAAAACATATAGGTCCCAGGGCTAAATCAGAGCAGATTTCTGTGTGAAGTCTTTCCATATCTGCTTTATGTAGATACATTCATTATCTGGTATGAACTTTCTGGTGCTGAATGAGGTGAGAATTTTGGTTAAAGCCTCTTCCACATTCACTGCAATGATAAGGTCTCTCTCCAGGATGGACTCTCCGATGTTTAATGAGGCTAGAGTTGTACTTAAAAACTTTCCCACATTCACTGCACTCGTAAGGCTTTTCTCCAGTATGAACTCTCTGATGACTGATGAGTGTGAAGCTGTCCATAAAAAATCTCCCACATTTGCTGCATTTATAAGTTCTTTCCCTAGTGTGAACTTTTTGGTGCCGAATGAGGTGGGAATTTTGGCTAAAAACTCTTCCACATTCAGTGCACTCAAAAGACCTTTTTCCAAAGTGATTTTTCCAGTGTCTAAGATGATTTGAGTTGTGCCTAAATAATTTTCCACATTCACTACACTCATAAGGCCTTTCACCAGTGTGAATTCTCTGATGTGCATCAAGTGTGGAGCGACACCTGAACGATTTTCCACAAATGCTGCATTCGAAAGGTTTTTCTCCGGTGTGAATTCTCTGATGACTCTTCAGCGAACAACTGTCCACAAAGAATTTGCCACATTCACTGCATTCATAACGTCTCTCTCCAGAGTGAATTCTCTGATGTCTATTACGTGTAAAGCAATACCTAAAGCACTTCCCACATTCACTGCATTCATAAGGCTTTTCTCTAGTGTGAACTCTCTGATGAATAATGAGTGTGGAAATGTCCATAAAAAACTTCCCACATTCACTACACTCATAAGGCTTCTCTCCAGTGTGAACTTTCTGATGTCTAATGAGTGTGGAACGGTATCTAAAGAATTTCCCACATTCGTTGCATTTGTAAGGCTTTTCTCCAGTGTGAACTCTCTGGTGAACAATGAGTGTGCAGCGGTCCAAAAAGAATTTCCCACATTCACAACAATAAAAAGGCCTTTCTCCAGTGTGAACCTTCTGATGTCTAATGAGTGCAGAATTGTACATAAAAAATTTTCCACATTCATTGCAACCATAAGGTCGTTCTCCAGTATGAATTTGCTGGTGACAAACAAGGTGAGCCCGTGTAAAGAAAGCCTTCCCACATTCACTACACCCATAAGGCCTTGGCCTGGAGTGAATCCTCTGGTGCTGAAGTAGGTGAGACTTTTTAAGGAAGGCTTTCCCACATTCACTGCACTCATAAGGCCTTTCTACAGGCCTTATGTGAATTTTCTGGTGTTGAACAACGTTATACTTGAGTCTGAAGGCTTTTCCACATTCACTACACTTATAAGGCCTTTCTTCACTATGAGTTCGCTGATGTTTATTAAGTTCTGAGTTGTACCTAAACAATTTGCCACATTCACTGCACTCATAAGGCCTTTCCTCTGTATGGATTTTCTGGTGCTCAAACAGCATATCTTGGTGGCAAAAGTCTTTCTCACATTGGCTGCAGCTGTAATCATTCTGTCCACTTTCAAAGGCCTCCACACCGTAAGTGTCCCTGTGCGGCTTCCACCCATTGTGAAGAGCCTGTTGTTGAAGAAGATCTGAATCAGCAGTAAAATCCTTGCCACCCTGTGTGCATGTGAAGTTCCTCTCTGCCACATGAACACCATCATTCACAAATGAAGGCCTCTCTTCATCACTTCTGGTGAGCTTCTCTCTAAGATGCTCCTTTTGGTGCAGGTAAAGCTTGGCTGCACACCTGTACAGCACTTGCTTGAGGTGTGTTCCGTCGTGCTCAGCCAGGTGCAGAATGTCCTTCAGAAGTGAGCTACATGTCTCACAGGGCTGGGCCTTCTGGGTGGACAATGCTGGCTTTAGAGTTGTGACCTGTGACACTCCCACAGAAACATATTGCTTGGAAGGTGCCTCCTCATCCTTGGCTCCATGCCAACAACCTAAGGACAGAAATGCTGGTGAAGTGCATGTTGACTTTGGATGGGGAAAGCAGCCCCATCACAAATCACAGATGTCTGTCAGACCAACTCACAAGACCACGAGATTGGTGACAAGCATGGACACTAAGGCCAGTGAGAGGAAGGCCTACTGGGCAGAACTGGCCTGACAGAAACTCATAATGAAACAGTCCTGATGATGGGGAACAACATAGGGAGTGGTACAGTGCACAGCACAGAGTCCCCCAGTAACGGTAAATGGCTTTCAACAGGCCATAGCTGCTGGTGAGCCATATGCAGAAGGCTGTGTCCAGACCCAGAGAGATCTGATGTGACAGTGGAGCTGGTGTTCAGGGACTACTTAAGTATACATGCAGACCTCACAACACCTTAAATACAGGTCATATGTTGGAGGGCACTAAAAAGGGAGCAGCAAAAGGGAACAGGTGGCTGGGTACAGTGGCTCATGCCTATAATCCGAACACTTTGGGAGGCCGAGGTGGGTGGATCACCTGAGGTCGGGAGTTCGAGACCAGACTGACCAATATGGAGAAACCCCATCTCTACTAAAAATACAAAATTAGCTGGGCGTGGTGGCGCATGCCTGTAATCCCAGCTACTTGGGATGCTGAGGCAGGTGAACACCTTGAACCCAGGAGACGGAGGTTGCAGTAAGCCACTGCACTCCAGCCTGAACAAGAGTGAAACTCCATCTAAAAAAAAAAAAAAAAAAAAGTGAGAGGTAGAGGTCAGAGAGGTATGGTTAGAGGTGGGAGCCAGGAGATGAAAGTCTATAAAGAAGTCACAATAGGAAAGAAAGAGACATATGGTATGGTCACTGGTAGGGGCCTCAAACTGGATTGATTCCCAGTGTGATGTGGACCCAGCCCTGTCATCATACCCCTTCTGAGCTACCACCCACCAGGGCCAAGTCCTTTTGAGCATCTCTTGCCATCAATGGAGTAATATCCACTCTGTCAGGACTTCTATCTTGCTCAAGGTAAGCAACTATCTAGGTGTGGCATTAGCCAAGCTAGGGGTAAAGACAGGGAAAGGGAGGAGACAGCTTGTACACAGAACAATAAACCCAGGACATGCTACATTCTAAAGTTACCAGAACTTCTAGTGGAAAGTCACGCAGCAGTTAAGTCCACAGTCCTCACAAGCAGTGACCAGGTCAAATCCCTGAAATTCCTGACATGGGGTATCCCTCAGGTGTGTCAGCAAGAAGAATGGAGAAAGTCTTGCACAGAGAAGAGTTTCGTGCATTTGGACAAAGTAAACTACCACCAGGGGCACAAGGTCTTTAGGATATTCTAGAGAAACCTGAAGACTTCTGACTTGAGCCTTATCTTATAAGGCTTCAGAGTGACGAGCGCTAAGCTTCTTTTTTTTTTTTTTTTTTTTGAGATGGAGTTTTGCTCGTTACCCAGGCTGGAGTGCAATGGCGCGATCTTGGCTCACCGCAACCTCCGCCTCCTGGGTTCAGGCAATTCTCCTGCCTCAGCCTCCTGAGGAGCTGGGATTACAGGCACACGCCACCATGCCCAGCTGATTTTTTGTATTTTTAGTAGAGACGGGGTTTCACCATGTCAACCAGGATGGTCTCGAACTCTCGACCTCGTGATCCACCCGCCTCGGCCTCCCAAAGTGCTGGGATTACAGGCTTGAGCCACTGCGCCCGGCGAGCGCTAAGCTTCTTAAGGAAAACTGATACAGATCACACAGCCCAGCCGTAGCTCCCACAACACATATGCCAGGAAACAAGGAGAGGATGCAGCATCCATGATCTGGTGTGAGACAGATCTGCCAAGGAAAAAAGTGAAAAACCATTGCCCAGCACAAGACACTGACATAGGTGTCAGGGCCTTACCTACTGATGACAAAAGTGCAAAGTTCTCCAGCATCACATCGCTGTGCAGGTGTCTCTGAACGTCATTAAGAATGCCCCACTCCTCCTGGGAGAAATGTATGGCCACGTCCTCAAAAACCATACAATCCTGCCAAAATTATGACAGTTTAGTCCATGAGCAACTTTTTTTTTTTTTTTTTTTTTTGAGATGTTGTCTTACTCTGTTGCCCAGGCTGGAGTGTAGTGGTGTGATCTTGGCTTACTGCAACCTCTGCCTCCTGGGTTCAAGTGATTCTCCTGCTTCAGTCTCCTGAGTAGCTGGGATTACAGGCGTGCACCATCACTCCTGGCTGATTTTTGTATTTTTAGTAGAGACAGGGTTTCACCATGTTGGTCTCAAACTCCTGACCTCGTGATTCGTCTGCCTTGGCCTCCCAAAGTGCTGGGATTACAGGCGTGAGCCACCACTCCAGGCCCATGAGCAACTTCTTATTCTGTTTCCTTAGATTGGTATTTATCTACTTGAAATCTAAGAATTAGAGGACCAAAATAACAACCAGTGTTTTATCATTTCCCTTACAATCCAGATCCCATAGTCTGAACTGCCTCCTATTATTTCTCCTGCCCTAAATCAACACAAGGTTTGTACTACGCAAGAAGAGATAGTCACTATGCCCCAAGGCTGCCAAAATCATGCAAACCACCCAGTCTTAAGCTCTTCACTCTGCCCTGCATGCCTTTCCAGCCAAAACCCCAATAAAGCCTCTGATGTATGCTCTCCCTTCAATTGTGCATCTGCCTCCTGACCAAATCTGCTATTTCCTCTGTGGCTTTATGTGGTATGGCATACCCCCTCCACTCAGGAAATGAAAGGAATAAAAATTATTTCATCCAGGTATGATCTCTCGCCAATCAAAAAAAAAAAAAAATTATGCCGGGCGCGGTGGCTCAAGCCCGTAATCCCAGCACTTTGGGAGGCCGAGGCGGGTGGATCACAAGGTCGAGAGATCGAGACCAACCTGGTCAACATGGTGAAACCCCGTCTCTACTAAAAATACAAAAAATTAGCTGGGCATGGTGGCGCGTGCCTGTAATCCCAGCTACTCAGGAAGCTGAGACAGGAGAATTGCCTGAACCCAGGAGGTGGAGGTTGCGGTGAGCCGAGATCGCGCCATTGCACTCCAGCCTGGGTAACAAGAGCGAAACTCCGTCTCAAAAAAAAAAAAAAAAAAAAAAAAAAAAATTATTTCAATGCCATTAGCTTCTCTGTCATCACTCACTCTTGTCCATAGATTGAAATCCTGTGGGTACAATCACGGATACACTTTCCTCTCCAGGATCTTCAGTGCTCCTCACCACACCCACATACATCCACCCCCTGCTCAGCCTCCACCCATTTCTCAAGGAGGAAGACACCAGGTCCTCGTGGCACCTGTACCTGCTCTCCCCTCACTGTCACTGATCACGGACTCCAAGCACAGAACAAAGATGGGTTGGGGAAGAGTCTGAAAAGCACCATCAAAACCTGGCACATGGAGGCCTATCTTGCTTTTGTCACTCAGTTTCTCGAGAGTCCCCCGGATCTTGCCTCTCACTGAACCAAACGTGGACTCAACCTCCTCCCTTAAGTGCCCAGCGCCAGGGCTGGGACCATCTATTCATGCTCCTCCACTCACACTGTGGAAGGCACCTCCCTCATGTATCCAATACCTCCACTCTTGCAACACTAACAACCACCACAACTCAATCAGGACTATTTCCACGGCCTCTCACCATGCCACTCTGCACAAGGAATCCTGCATTGCATGACAAATACAACCAGAATCCTATGTTCCCCTGGACTGACCTGAATGCAATGTTTAGGAAACACTGCCTTGAAGGTCCCCCAATCCAATCCTGTTTCTTGCTTTAACCTCAGCTTCCCAAACCCATACATTCTTGCACACCTCCTTTGAGTTCCAAATCTTGGCTGTTTCTCCCTTCTACATGTGCATGCTATCCCATGAGCAGTCACAACTTTATCCTCCTAACTCTAACCCAAAGCCCAGATACACTGACTTGCCCAACACCATCCCCATCCCAGGCCTAGCAATGCTTCTAGCTGATCCCATCTTCTGCCAAAATAGTCTCAGAATTCGCACGAAACTACCCAGGTCCAACCAAGATTTGACACAAAACCCTGGTGAGTCCATAACAGGGTAATAAGCCCCTCCCAAACCTCACTACCATCTCATCTCTTTTGTGGAGATGCCTCATCATCTATTTTATGTGCACTCTCCCCTCAAAAAGCCTTTCTTATTCTCCAAAGGCCATCCCCAACATAAACACACAAATACACACATACATATCCTCAGTCCATCCACTCTCTCATCTGTCTTGGGGATGCCCACCGACACCATGCAGGTGTCCTATAGAAAGATCCAGTCCTCAGCCTCTTCCTTTTTCCTTCCTTTTCCCTAATGGCATTGCCTCCAGAATATAAAGATGTCTCTTCCTAAATCTGACCCACAGAGTTACAATGGTGTACACACCAGCTATCACGCAGTAGATGTCTCCATCCTGAACAACTCCAATGAATTCCATTCCTGTGTGTTTAACTGCCACTCTGGCACCACTAATCGAGTCTCTGTAACATTTTTGACTTGGCCCAAACCTTGTTCTTCATATGCTCGATTAAACTCCCCTACTACAGAATTTATCACATCTTAGCTGCTGGAACATCCACCCTTCTCATCAAGGCCAAAGCTATGGGGCCACTCCTGACTCCCTCTTGCATCCCACCTCCCCAGCTTCCTCACTCTGCAGATCGAAAAAATGGGGGCAGATCTAGATTAAAACCTACAGAAGCCACCCATGCCTCCCACCTTCACAGCTGCCACTCTGTCCAGCCACCACCAACCTCCACTGGACTGTGGCAGGAACTATCACCCAGGTATCCTTGGTTCTTCCCTAATCCTCACTCTGTCCTACATTCTGCAGGCAGAGGAAGCACCTTAGAATGTGAGTCAAATCACCTATTTTTTCCTTTCTCAAACCTTCCCTAGCTACTACCCCTCTCAGATTAAAGACCTAGAATTGCCAGGCATAGTGGCTCACACGTGTAATCCCAGCACTTTGGGAGGCTGAGGCAGGCAGATCGCTTGAGGTCAGGAGTTTGACACCAGCCTGGCCAACATGGTGAAACCCTGTCTCCACTAAAAATACAAAAATTCGCTGGGTGTGATGTCTCACGCCTGTAATCCCAGCTACTGAGGAACCGAGACATGAGAATTGCTTGAACCTGGGAGGTGGAGGTTGCAGTGATCTGAGATCATACCAATGCATTCCAGCCTGGGCAGTGAGACTGTCTCAAAAAAACAAAATAAAAACAAAACTCCTAGAACCTCAGGCTGCCATTCCATGCCTGATCCCTGCATGCCCCAACCTCCTGCCCTGCGGCTATGCACCACCTTATCCTTGCCAGCTAGAACATTAAGTTACAGCTCTCTCAGCATCCCATCTAAATCTCACTACCAAGAATCTGAACATTCTGGATCCTGTGTTTGAGATGTCATGCCAAATCTCTTATCATCAGTTGTAAGAACTAGGACCACTCTATATAATCAGATACTGAGTTTGGAACCCAGGTCTGGTGGAATTACAGGCTCTCCTTGGACCCAAGGGAGAGAGAAGAAAAGGTGAACAGTCTCAGGACAACACCATTCCCCATATCAGCATGCTGAAACCAGCTAGGATGGGTGAAAGATGGAAACTCTCCACTCACCTGTCCAGCATCCATAAACATTGCTGCCACTGCTATGAACCCTGTGGGAAGAAGCAGGACATGAGGATTAAGACAGCAACACAGCTTCCCACAGGCTGAACTGTACAACCACCTGTGGCCCTGCAACTAGAGCAAAGTTATCTGCGGCTACACAGTAAGTCCTCAGGGTTCAGTGTCTTGACCAGGACTGAACTTTCCTAAGTCTCAGTACCCTTATGAGTAAAACAGAGATTAAAAGGATTGCCAACTATGAGGGCTCATACTGGCAACAAACATAAGTAGTACACACTATGTATCAGCAATTTATTTCTACTGGATTAAATATTTTATAAATGTTTTCAGAACAAATGACATGGAAGGGTTTTGAAATTTTGGGTGTCTATTTTTCCCACTTCTTACGGTGTCAAGGAAATGTGATACATAAAACTTCCCACTGCAACCAAATAGAAAAATTAACATTCAGCCGGGTGCGGTGGCTCATGACTGTAATCACAGCACTTTGGGAGGCCAAGGCAGGTTGATAATGAGGTCAGGAGACAGAGACCACCCTGGTCAACACGATGAAGCCCTGTCTCTGCTAAAAATACAAAAATTAGGTGGTGCGTGCCTGTTTAATCCCAGCTACTCGGGAGGCTGAGGCAGGAGAATCGCTTGAAGCCAGGAGGCAGAGGTTTCACTGAGCCAAGATCGTGCCACTGCACTCCAGCCTGGCAACAGAGCAAGACTCTGTCTCAAAAAAAAAAACCAGAAAATAGAAAAATTAATATACAAACAATTAAGTGAATAAATTTAACGACTGGTTACATTCATTTCTAACTGCTGACTTACGTGCACATATTTACAAGCATATTGGTTCATTAGTGGTTAAATAAATGTTTTTTATATTCATAAGTAAATAAGTTGTAGGGAGGAGATAAGCGGGCAGGTTAGTTACTGGTCCCATCAGCAACCAGGCCTGCCTGCTACAACTTCTGTTATTGGAAGTTTGCTGGAGGCCCTTGACTGGATGTGACAAAGCCCTACCCAGGTTTGGACCCAATTTCCCCATTAGTCTGGATGACCTTCTTATTGATCCAAAGAGTGGGCCTGAGGGTCTGCTGGGTCTGCAGGTGCAGAATCGAAAACAACTTAAACCCCAGTCTCCAGCCTAGGCCAGTTCCTTAACCCATTCAGGACTCATTTTTGCAGACACAGACCAGAATCCTTCCTACGACATGTCTGTGCCGTTCTAAAGTGAGTGTCAGGCTTATGGACCCATCTATCACCTGCCCTTCAAAACGCAACTTGTAATCCTCTCTGAAACCTGCTCCTTAAGCTGACTTCTCCAACTCCATTCTTTCAGATTTTCAAGCCAAAACAAAGCCCATGGAATAAACCCTTCACTATCCACATAGCTATATTTGATGCAGCAGAAAATCCTGTCGACTCTTATCTCTGAGATCCATCCAGAATCTCACATCTCCCCTTTACTGCAACCCCTATGGCCCAGCACTACCGTAAGTCAAGGGGTCGTCTTCTCAGAGGTCCCCTTGTCCTGGTTTAACAACCTGTTTCTGGCCAGGCGCGGTGGCTCACGCCTGTAAATCCAAGGACTTTCGGAAGTCGAGGCGGGCGAATCACGAAGTCAGGAGTCCGAGACCACCCTGGCCAAGATGGTGAAATCCCCGTCTCTACTAAAAAAATACAAAAATTAGCCTGCCGGGCGCGGTGGCGGGCACCTGTAATACCAGCTACACGGAAAGCTGAGGCAGGAGAATCGCTTGAACCCGGGAGGTGGAGGTTGCAGTGAGCCGGGATCCCCCCATTGCACTCTAGCTAGGGCGACAGAGCAAGACTCCGCCTCAAAAAAAAAAAAAAAAATCCTGCTTTCTCCAACTTTAGACGTCTATCTCTGTGCATAACCCTGCTTGCACAGCCTTCTCTGGCTTTCAGCTGCTCCGCTGCCCTCCCAGGAGACTCCGCCTCACCCTCTGCTCCGTGGGGACAAAGACGCTGGGGCTCCCCAGTGCCGCCCGCTCTGCGGCGCCTCCAAGCCTCGCAGGTGCCGGTCCCGGAGCTCCCCCACCTCAAAGCACCGTGGACACCGGTACCCCACACGAGAACGCCCCTCTCTTTGGGACACAGGGGCCTGGCCTGAAGGGCCCCTCCTCGGGGCTTCAACACTCGGAGGAGGGGTCGGGCGGGCGGTCTGGGACGCGGCACTCACCTCAATCAGGTTCATCCGCTCGACCTCCGCCAGCACAGCCAGGGAGGAGCGGGGAGGGAGCGGCGGCGACCTGGGGGCTGACGGAGGCCGCCGGCGCCCGCAACCGATTCAGCTGAGCCTCACTCTAGCCCCTGTACAGCGGGGGAACCTTTTCTCGCGTCTTTTCGCTCTTCCACCTCAGGCTCGACTCGGCAGAAAAGGGTAAACCGGGCTCCAACGCGACCATATTTATATCCGCACATGGGGCGTTGCAGGAAGTCCCGCCCTCACCCATTGAGAACCCATGGAGGCGTCTCTCCGCCGTGACTTCATTGGCTATACTCGCTGCTTGTGTCCGCCGCAGTGTCTTCTGGGTCGTGTAGTCACCAGGCTGCTGCCTGCCTCGCCTCTGAACCTAAGTAACTAGCCTTCTGTTTGAAAGCCAGGAGGATCCTCCAGAGGCGTTGAGAAACGCAGTTCCGGGGCTCCAAGGAAGTGGAGGGGCTTCACTGGCTTCTAAACGGCAAGTATCCAGATTTTCCCGGGAGGCAGTCTAGAAATGTCAGAGAAATGTTTCAGAGGCCTGTCCTTTCAGAGCCTGTAAAGCACATCAAGTTCCCAAAGGACGAACACCCGAAGGAACACGGGCATCCGTAATGAACTGGTCTTCCACGCATAGCGATCAGCTCTTTTGTGCTTGGCAAATACACACAGACCGAAGCTCTGGAGACCGTTTTGTGATCTTCAATGCGTTCTGCTGAGACAAGAAAAGACCCAAACGTGGCATGATGGGGACTTTAAGGAGAAACATCTTTCCTTTCTGAATAATCAGTGATTGTCTTTCAGTCTACCCAGCAACACTTTATTCACATGAGACTTAATATCTGAGACATTTTCCACTTATTTTAAGAAACTGAAACCTAACTGAAAAGGAAAAGCAACTTATTACCGTTATCTGCCAGGATAGTGTGTGGCCTTCTACCAGTCAAACCCTTGAGATAAAGGTTTGGGAATGCATGATCTCATCTACTTACTGGAAAGTGATTTATCGTTTCACCTCAAATGGTATCAATAGTGTCTGCATAGGGAGTTGAAATTGTCTCTGAATAACTCTTGTGAAATGGCTATTACTGAAACTATTAATGATGATTATGTAGTTAGTCAAAGAGTGGGTTGCAGTGGGCTCTGTGGGCCAGTCACTAGACCCAGAAAAGTACTGGCATCACTGCCTCATCACCATCATAGCTGCCACACCAGCAGCCCAGGGATTCAAGGGTGCGCTCACATGCTTGGTACACTGCTATCACAACCAACATCTAAGAGAGCCAGTAAGAAGCCCAAGAATCAGCCTGCTTGGAACTGCCAACACAGGTACCAACATTCACCACCACAAAGCACAAGAATAGACATACTTAGCTCACCACCAGTACTGCTGAAGCCTGAAGATAAGCTCATCTGGCATTCCTGTTCCCAGCACAACTTTACCAAAACCTCCACTAATAACTAACAGTGAGCACCCTAACACACTTGAGAAAACCACATAAACTGTTTATAGCCAAGGAAATCATACAAAAACTTTACTGCTGCATGCACTCAGAAGTAAAGCTAAAGTGCCCTACTCAACTAAGACCATTGATAACATCTTAAAAACCCCCACAAACAAAAGTAAATTCAAAAATAGAAGATAAACTATTATACTACACATGCAAAAAAAATCAATATAAAAACAAGGAAACAGAAAAGCAAGAAACCATGACACTCCTCCAAAATTACAATACTTTTCCAGCAATAGATCTTAACAACAACAACAACAACAAAAACCCAAAATTCTCACCATACCAGATAAAGAATTGAAAACGTTGATTTTAAAGAAGCTCAACATGACACAAGAGAAATAAGAAAACCAATGCAAATAACTCAAACAATTCAGAATTTGCTTCTGTCATATGGGGCATCCGCCTGGGGCTGGTGGAAGGTGGGACAATGTTACAGCTCTTTTCACAACTTATCATTTGGTGGTTTCTGGGTTTTTGTCCCATGACCAAAAAGAATGACATTTTGTAAACACTAGAGAGTCAGCAAGGCAGGTGACTTTATTGAGTGGCAGAAAAGCTCTCAACAACAGGAGGGGAACCAAAAGTGGGTAACCCAATGTGTGGCTGGGTCCAGGGTTCTTATGGGCTCAGAATGGGCACTGCGTACTGATTGGTCCATGGGTGGGCCTGAAAAAAGCACCATTCGATTGGCTAAAAGGCCTTGAGAAGTTCTTACTCCAGTCATGGACCCTACTTGGAAATGGCAGCCAGTTTTCAGGCTTTAAACAGTCTTTGGCTTAAAGTTTGGGTTTCACCAGGGACCTGTCCTTAGTCTGCCTAGGAATTTATCTGCCTACTACCACTATCAGTGAAACAACCAGTATTTTCTCCTGATGAAAGGAAATTTCTGCAATCTGCCTGCCAAAGCCAGTCCATGTCTTCAGTGAAAGGCTGATGTCTATGCCCAAATCAGTCATAGGAGACGAGGTGAGGTCCCCAAAGTGTTTAAATGACTAGTGAATTCTTCAAATAGAGAATTCATGATGCTATAACTGATTTTTTTTTTTTTTTTTTTTTTTAGACGGAGTTTCGCTTTTGTTACCCAGGCTGGAGTGCAATGGCACGATCTCGACTCACCGCAAGCTCCGCCTCCTGGGTTCAGGCAATTCTCCTGCCTCAGCCTCCTGAGTAGCTGGGATTACAGGCACGCGCCACCATGCCCAGCTAATTTTTTGTATTTTTAGTAGATACGGGGTTTCACCATGTTGACCAGGATGGTCTCAATCTCTCGACCTCGTGATCCACCCGCCTTGGCCTCCCAAAGTGCTGGGATTACAGGCTTGAGCCACCGCGCCCGGCCATAACTGCATTTTAATGTGAACTAAAGTGCTACACACCATGACTTTTTGCCAATTGGTAGAAAAGACATGACTTTTTTTTTTTTTTTTGAGACAGAGTCTCACTCTGTCACCAGGCGCCAGGCTGGAGTGCAGTAGTGCGATCTCGTGCGATCTCGGCTCACTGCAACCTCCACCTCCTGAGTTCAAGCAATTCTTCTGCCTCACCCTCCCAAGTAGCTGGAACTACAGGCGCGTGCCACCACACCCAGCTAAATTTTTGTGTTTTTCACTAGAGATGGGGTTTCACCATGTTGGCCTGGATGGTCTCGATCTCTTGACCTTGTGATCCGCCCACCTCAGCCTCCCAAAGTGCTGGGATTATAGATGTGAGCCACTGTTTCTGGCCAAGAGATGACTTTTTAAATAGGGTTGGCAGGGGCATAACTCTGGCAAAGTCCCCAGACAAGCTGAAAAGTGCAACACAGCTCACAAAATCTTCCCATTTATCTGATAGTATAGATATATGGTGGATATCCCTAGTATGGACATCCCCAGTGGGGATATTTAGATGTATAAGGTTCCATTGCTGGCTCTCTCCCTAAAAAGCTAATATCCAAAGCATTGCTCTACCGAGTTATTATGTTAACAAGAAATGATCACGCTGCCTTCACTTCTTTTCCTAGAGTGAACGTGCTGGCACGGAATGAGGTTAGGCTAATGGCTAAAGACTTTCCAACATTTACTAGACTTTTAATACCTTTCTGGGTTCTTCTGATAGCAAGAAACAACCTAATGTCACTTGGATAAACAAAGAGCAGAACTATTCATTACCTATAGCTAAAAATGAGATAACCTGGATACGGTCCCACAGAGGGTTGCATCTGAGACAGAGTAACAGCAACCTGAGACTGCAGGGGACAACTTAGGTAAGAGAAGGGGATTGACATTAGCTATGTTTTCCATGCTCCCCATGGATTGGCTAATTTGAATAATTTCAGCTGGAATATAGCAATCTGGAGTGTGAAAGCCCACTAGCCTCGTCCTCAAAACTGAGTCTCACACACACCTAAAATGTGTGGTACTGACATAACGACAGACATATGACCAACAGAATGGAGAATCCACATATAAACCACAGCATATATAGACAAATGATCTTGACAAGTGCCAAGACTACTCAACAAAGGAAAGATTTTTTTCATCAAATAGTGCTTGGAAAACTGGATAGCCTCATTAAGTGGACTTCTGCCTTAAGCCACATGCAAAAATGAACCCCACATAGATTAAAGATCTAAATGTAGCCAGGCACAGTGTATTACAGCTCATGCCTGTAATCCCAGCACTTTGGGAGGCCAAGGCAGGCGGAACACTTAAGGCCAGAAGTTTAAGACCAGCCTGGCCAACATGGCAAAAACCCATCTCTACTAAAAATAAACTAGCCAGGTGTGGTGGCACACATTTTTAATCCCAGCTACTTGGGAGGCTGAGGTGGGACAATGGCTTGAACCTGGGAGGCGGAGACTGCAGTGAGTTGAAATTGCACCACTGCACTCCAACCCGGGTGACAGAGCAAGACTCTGTCTCCAAAAGAAAAAAAAAAAAAAAAAAAAAAAGCACAAGACCTAAATGTAAGACCTACAAATATAGAATTCTTAAAATAAAACATACTGAAAATGCTTGGCATTGGATTTGATACTGTGTTTTTGTTTTTGATATATAACATCAAAAGCCCAGGTAACAGACGTAAATATAGGTAAACTCAACTACAGTCATCCCTTGGTGTCTGTGGGGGACTGATTCCAGGACCCCTGTGGATACCAAAATCATCTGATGCTCAAGAGGTTCCTCTCATATATGCACAGTGTTTGCATATAACCTACACACATCTTCCCATATACTTTAGATTATCTCTAGGTTATTTATAATAACACCGAATACAATGTAAATGCTATGTAAATATTTATTATACTATATGATTTAGGGAATAATGGCAAGAAAAAATGTCTGTTCATGTTTAGTAGAGATGCAACTACTCTTTTTGTTTTCTGAATATTTGTGATTAATGATCAGTACAATCCATGGATGCTCCAAATACTTTTGATCTGTGGTTGGTTTGATGCATGAATACAGAACCCAAAGACACAGAGTCAAAAGTACATCAAAGTTTAAACTCTGATTTAATCCTTTGATTATGTCATCAAAGGACACAATCAACAGAGCAAAAAAACAACCTATGGACTGGGAGGTAATATGTAAAAAGCATATATTTGTTAAGTAGTTAATATCCAGAATATATAAGGAATTTCTATTACTCAACAACAAAAAGCAAATAATCCCATTAAAATTTTAAAAAGACTTGAATATTTTTCGAGATACACAAATGCCTAACAAGCCAGGAAAAGATGCTCAACATCATTAATCATTCACAAAATAAAAATGAAAGACACTGAGATTCCACCTTGCATCCAACACGATACCTGCTATCCAAAACAAAAGGCACAACAAAAAAATCCCAAAGAACAGAAATAGAAAATGAACAATGTTGGTGAGGATGTATATAGACTGCAATTCTTGTGCACTGCTAGTGGGAATGTAAAATGCCACAGGTACTATGAAAAAAGTTTTCTCAAAAATATTAAAAATAGAAATCCTATAAGATCCAGCACCACCATTTTGGAGTATAAACCCATCAAGAATCAAAAGTAGAATCTTGAATAGACACTTGTATACTCATCTTCATAGCAGCATTATTTCAAAAGGTGGAAGTAACCCAAGCATCCATTAACAAATGAATGGTTAAATAAAAGGAGTATATACATACCATAGAATATTGTTTCACCTAAAAAGGAAGGATATTCTGACACATTATACAACATGGGTGAACCATGAAGACCTTATCCTAAGTGAAATAAGCCAGTCTCAAAAGACAAATACTGTATGAATCCACCTACATGAGGTACCAATAGATAACAAATTCATAGACACAGAGTATAGAAATATAGTTGAGACATTTCTGGGGACAGTAGGAAAGGGAATTGAGTTGTTTCTAATAGGTACAGCATTTTACTTTTTTTGTAAGAGGAAAAATGTTCTGGAGATTAGTTACATAAAAAGGTGGAATTTATATAACATTACTACCCAATTACAATGGTCAATGGTAAACTTTCTCCATTGTGAAATCTCTGATGTTTAATGAGGTTGGAGTTGTAGCTGAAGAATTCCCCACATTCATGGAGCACATAAACCTCTCTTCACTGTGGATTTTCTGGTGATGAACCAGGTGAGACTTTCTAATAAAGGCCTTCTGGCATTCACTACACTCATAAGGTCTTTCTCCACTGTGGATTTTCTCGTGCTCAACAAGTATATGCTTGTGGCTAAAGGCTTTCCCACACTCTCTGCACTCATAAGGCCTTTCTCCAGTGTGATTTCTCCAATGTTTAATGAGGTTGGAGTTGTAACGAAAGAATTTCCCACATTCGCTGCACTCGTAAGGCCTTTCTCCCGTGTGGACTCTCTGGTGTCTAATGAGTCTGCAGTGGTACCTAAATGATTTCCCACATTCACTGCATTTATAAGGCCTCTCTCCAGTGTGATTTCTCCAATGTTTAACGAGGCTGGAGTTGTACCTAAACAGTTCCCCACATACACTGCACTCATACGGCCTTTCTCCAGTGTGAATTCTCTGATGTCTAATGAGTGTGGAGATATACCTAAAAAATTTCCCACAATCATTGCACTTATAAGGTCTTTCTCCAGTGTGAACTCTCTGATGTTTAATGAGCGTGGAGCTGTCCATAAAGAATTTCCCACATTCCCTGCACTCATATGGCCTTTCTCCAGTGTGAACTCTCTGATGTCTAACGAATGTGGAGCTGTACCGAAAGAATTTCCCACATGTGTTGCACTCATAAGGCCTTTCTCCAGTGTGAACTCTCTTATGTCTCATGAGTCGGTAGTTGTACATAAATGATTTTCCACATTCTCTGCACTCGTAAGTCCTTTCACTAGTGTGAACTGTCTGATGTTTCATGAAATTGGCACTGTACTTAAAAAATTTCCCACATTTGTTACATTCATAAGATCTTTCTCCTGTGTGGATTTTCTGGTGCTCAACAAGTGAATATCTGTAGGTGAAGGTTTTCCCACATTCACTACACTTGTAATCATTTTGTCCAGTCTGAAAGTCTTCTCTGTCCTCTGTGTCCCTGTATGGCTTCCACTCGCTTTGAGGGGCCTGTTGCTGGAGAAGGCATGAGGTGGCTGATAAGTCCTTCCAACCCTCCATGAATGTGAAGATCTCCTCCGCCATGTGAATTCTGTGGTTCTTCCCAAATGAAGGTATCAAATTGTCCCCTCTGGAAAGATTCTCTCCAATTTGCTGCTCTGAGCACTGAAAAAGCTCTGCCTCACAAATATATATGTCTTGCTCAGGATGAATTCCATTGTGCTCAACCAGGCACAGAGTGTCTTTCAAGGGTGGGTCTCCCATCTCACGAGGGTGGATCTTCTGGGTGAACATACAGGACTTTGGTGAAGTTGTAACCTCTGACACTCCTGCAGAAAAACCTTGCCGTGAAGGTGCCACCTCATCCTCAGGTCCATGCCAACAACCTGTCAGAATAGAAGTGTTGGTGAAGTGCCTGTTGACTTTGGTGGGAGGAAGCAGCTCCATCACAAATGTCTCTCAGGCACACACACAAATAAGGCCATGGGATTGGGGACATCATGGACATTAAGGCCAGTGAGAGCCTGGTAAGGGCCCACATAATGGGAGAGCCCTGATGATGGTAAGCATACAAGGGAGGAGTATGGAACAGAGAGAAAAGGCAGGATCTCCAACTCACTTCTCTGCAAATAGCTATCAACAGGCCATGGTTGCAGGAGACTGGTAAGCAGTGTATAGGACGTTTTCTACAAACCCAGAGATCAGACTGTGACAGGAGCTAGTGTTCAGGGATACATGCAGACCTCACACCACCTTAAATACAGGTCATGCATTGGTAGGCATTCAAAGGGAGCAGTGGAAAGGAATGGGGGAGCGGCGGTGGCCCCAGAAGTATAAACTGTGGGGCACTGGAGGGGCAGCAGCCAGCAAGCATACTAGAAATGATAATGGGGAAGAAAAGGTAGAAATAAGGTGTGGCCACTGGCCCTGGCAACAACCAATAGTGAGCACAGAACAGGTTCCAAGGGTGATTTGACCCTCGCTGTGACATCAACCTTTCTTCCCAAATCCCAGGCACCCGGGCCATGTCCCTGAGCCTCTAATGCCATTGTTGAAGTAGTATCTACCCTCTCAGGCACCTAGGGCCCTCTCCAGGGGAAAGAAAGAGAAACAGAGTAAAGAGCACACACCCGGAGAGATCAAGCCCATGGCAATCCCACATTCTATAATCATAAGAACTTCACAGAGGAACCCTGCCTACTGCACAATCAACTCAGTAGTCCCTAACTTAGAATTCAGTGACTGAAATTCTAAGCAGAGGAAGGCAGCAAGAAATATCAGTGAGAGAAAGGGGATGAGAGAACAGTAGTCTCATGGGTTTGGATCTGAGGCAGACAAGGCTGGTGCGGTCTGTATGCCAAATTGAACATTTCTGGCTCCTGAGCCCTTTCTTGTAAGCCTCAGGGCAGTAGGGATGGGGATGCAAGGAAAAAGGGGGTATAGAACACACAGCCCAGCCCTGCCTCCCACAGCATATATGCCAAGAAATCGGGAAAAGCAGCAGCACCCATGGTCTCACTGTAGGAAACGCAGAGCTGCCTTTGGGTAAAAAGGGATAACACAACCCAACCCTGGACGCTGGGCAAGTGTGAGGGCCTTACCTAGTGAGGACAAAAGGGCCAAATTCTCCAGCATCACATCGCGGTACAGCAATCTCTGAGCCTCATCAAGGTGCCCCCACTCCTCCTGGGAGAAATATATGGCCACGTCCTCAAAGACCACACGGTCCTGCCAAATTGGGAAAGATGAATACGTGAGCAGCATCTTTTCAAGCTGTATTTACTTAAGTTCTATATTTATTTTCTACTTATATTTACCATTCATTAAACACAGAGCCAAAATAACAGCCAAATGTGTTTCCAATCTTCCCTACCACCCTGGGCTACATTCTAAACCATCTTTGTATCTTTCTCGAACCAAGCCAATATTTCCTGAGCTCTAAATCAACCCAGGTACTGCACAAGTAGGGACAGTCCCAGTAGCCCAGGTATCCTGGAATTACTTAAACTAGCCAAACTATCCTGTCACCAAGCCCTGCCTTGTTTCCCATGGAAACCTCAATAGTATCTGTGGGTTAAACTAAACTTTCCCCTCAGTCCAGTTTTCCTCCTGACCAAATCTGGCCCTTCACCATGTGGCCCTGTGTTATGTGGTGTGCACCCTCCTCAGGGAAATGTAAGGAATAAATATCTTCTATCAGTCATTGGCCTGACCCTGGCATCACTCACTCACATCCACAAATTAAAACCTTACGGGTATAATCACTGCTGTATTTCTCTCTCTCCAGGATCTCATCGCTCTCCCCCACACCTCCTTTCCTTGCTCAGTCTGCACACCCTCCCAATGTGGAAGAGACACCACATCCAGATGGCATGAATGACTTTTCTCTCCACATTTCCATTGGCCACTGTGTCCAGCACACAGAGAAAACAGGTGAAGGACAAGGCAGAAAAGCACCCCCTAGGATGTGGGCCTCCCATGGGGATATCCATCGTCGCCTGCCAGCTGGTTTCCATGGAGTCACTCAGATCTTGCCTCCCAAGACAACCAAACTGCCTCATCCCCCTCCCTTAAGCTACCAGGGCCAGGGCCTGGGGCCATCCATTCACACTCCTCCTGCCTGCATATCACTCTTTAGATAGCACTCCAATCACATCTCTCACACCTACCCTCCTGTAAATTCCACAGAAACCTCCCAGCCCACACCATAGGCATTTCTTTCACCTCGGAACAGGCCACTCTGCACATGAAAACCAGCTGGTGGACGGCAAATACACTCCGCATCCAATTCACTCCCAGTCCTGCCCCACAACACTAAAGTCCCCTAGCACCAGGGGCAGCCCAAAGCCCTGCTTTGAAGGTTTCCCCACATGGCCCTGTTTCTCACTTTACTGTCGGCTGCCCAAACCATGTGAGGACTTCACATACTCTCAGCTGTCTCCTGCCTCATGGCATACTCTGTCCCATGAGTAGTCAGGAAAATCGCTCTCCACCAAAACCTCATTACAAGCCCAGCTGCCCTGATCGCCACACCTCCACTCCTGATATGGTTTGGCTCTGTGTCCCCACCCAAATCTCAGGTTGAACTGTAATCCCCATGTGTCAGGGGAGGGACCTGGTGTTAGGTGACTGGATCATGAGGACGTATTTTCCCTTTGCCTTTCTCATGATAGTAAGTTCTCAGGAGATCTGGTTGTTTAAAAGTGTGTGGTTCTTGGCCGGGCACAGTGGCTCATGCCTGTAATCCCAGCACTTTGGGAGGCCGAGGCGGGTGGATCACAAGGTCAAGAGATCGAGACCGTCCTGGTCAACATAGTGAAACCCCATCTCTACTAAAAATACAAAAATTAGCTGGGCATGGTGGCGCGTGCCTGTAATCTCAGCTACTCAGGAAGCTGAGGCAGGAGAATTGCCTGAACTCAGGAGGTGGAGGTTGCGGTGAGCCAAGATCGCGCCATTGCACTCCAGCCTGGGTAACAAGAGCGAAACTCTGAAAAAAAAAAAAAAGTGTGTGGCTCTTCCCCCTTCATTCTTTCCCATGGGAAGATGTACCTTGCTTCCCCTTCACCTTCCACCACGATTATAAGTTTCCTGAGGTCTCACAGTTATGCTTCCTGTTAAGCATGAAGAACTGTGAGGCAATTAAATCTCTTTTCTTCATACATTACCCAGTCTCAGGTAGTTCTTTGTAGCAGTATGGAAACGGACTAATATAACTCCCATCCTCATCTCCCCCAAACAGATGCTTAGCAACTCTTCAACCTCACCCTATTATCCCCTTCAGCAACCGTATCATGTCCACTCTACTTCAAAGGCCTTTCTCACTTCTATACCCCATCATCTCACACTCTCATCCCCACTAACACTCCATTCCCTCATTTGTCTAGTGACTCCTCCACCATCACACAGGCACCCAGTAAGAGACCCCCAGTTCTCATGCCCCATTCCAATTCTCTATCTTCTTTTTTTTTTTTTTTTCTGACTCTGAGTTTCACTCCTGTTGCCCAGTCTGGAGTGCAATGGCACGATATTGGCTCACTGCAACCTCTACCTCCCAGATTCAAACAATTCTCCTACCTCAGCCTCCCGAGTAGCTGGGATTACAGGCACACACCACCACACCTAGCTAATTTTTGTTGTATTTTTAGTAGAGACAGGATTCCACCATGTTGGTCAGGCTGGTCTTGAACTCCTGAGCTCAGGTGATTGACCTGCCTCGGCCGCCCAAAGTGCTCAGATTATGGATGGGCGTGAGCCACCGTGCCCAGACCAATTCTCTATCTTCGAACAGTACTGCTACCAAAACCTAGAGATGCTGTCACCTAAACTGAATCCATGGCTTCATCGTAGCCCATACAACAGCCACCATGGTATGGATGTCTCCAACCTGAATTCCTCCACCAGGAGTCTCTGAGACATCTGTGACCTGAACAAACACTGAATCCTCATACTCACTCTGAAAATTCCTTGACTTATCTTAGCCAATGGAGCATCTATAATTCCAAACAAAAACCATGGGGCTACTCCTGGTTCCCCTTCCATCCCACCTCCCCAGCTCTCCCACTCACTATATCATAAAATGTGGGCAGCTCCAATTCAAAACACTGCTACTCTTGACAAGCCATCAGCAACATCCATGTAGACTGCTGCAAGAACATCCTCTCAGATCTCCCTGCCATTACCCTCTATTCCACAGTCTGTCCTCTGCTCAGAAGGCAAAGGAAGTCCCTTAAACTCGGGTCCTATCACTGCCCTCTTCTTCAAATCTTCCCCATCTACCACTTCCCTTAGAGATCCAGGACTTAGGCTGTCATTCCAGGCCTGATGTTTGGTGTGTCTCTAGCCACTACCCACTCTATTCCCTATTCCTACCAGATATAACAGACACTTGCACTTCCCTAAAAAGCCAGCTCAGTCTCTCCTCCAAGCATTGAAACATTCTGAATCCTATGCCCAAGAGGCCCTAACATATCTTATCTGATAAATTCTCAAAAACGGGTACCAGTCCATGTAACCCAGTACCCAACTTGCAATACTGGAACTGGTGAAACCACCCACTCTTCAGACGTAAAAGACAGGGAAAGAGATTTTGACACCTGCCAAAACCATATGGGAGGCCGGGCATGGTGGCTCATGCCTGTAATCCCAGCACTTTAGGGGGCCAAGGTCGGCCGATCACCTGAGGTTGGGAGTTTGAGAAACGCCTGACCAACATGGAGAAATTCTGTCTCTAAAAATACAAAAAGAGCTGGGCATGATGGCACATGCCTGTAATCCCAGCTACCTGGGAAGCCTGAGGCAGGAGAATCACTTGAACCCGGAAGGTGGAGGTTGCAGTGAGCCGAGATCGCGCTATTTCACTCTAGCCTGGGCAACAAAAGTAAAACTTTGTCTCAAACACACACACACACACACACACACACACACACACGAGATAACCAGGGTGGGTGGTAGGAAACACTCTACTCACGTGTGCAGGGTCCATTTCTGCCAGCCAGGGGACCCTGAGGGAAGAGAAAGGCCATGAGAAATGGACAGCCATGGAAGGATCCTACAGGCTGAGACGGACCACTACCTCCTCTGCCCTACCTGGGAGCAAACCAATCTCAATTCATTGAATAAAGTTCCTTAGGCCTCAGTGCTGCAGCTCTGTGATCATGGCAAAGAATTAACCCAACTGAGCTTCAGTGCTCCATCTGTAAATAGATTGTAATAGCTAACCCCTTATAGGGCTCACATTGGTATCAAACATCAGTAGCACATACTACGTATCAGCTACAATAGTCCAAGAATTAATGGTTTTGTATATGTTTTCAATGCAAATGAAATAGTGGGGTTTTGAAATTTTCATGTATGCTTTTAGCTTAAAATTTTAGAGAATGTGATATTAAATTTTTCCATGGAAAGCAAACAGAGATAAGTTAAAATCAAATCAATTACGAACCACTCTTAGAAATTTAACTAAATGACTTCAGTATGAACTTCATACCTCTTTGCATACACTTAGAAAGATATTGTCTAATTAGGGTTTACATCAAATATATCTGTTTTATACATCATTAAGTTAATGAGTTACAGAGAGGGGAGGAGTAGACAGGTCAGGTACTCGTCCCTTCCTGCTACATAATCTTCAGAAATGAGCTTGTCAGAAGACCCTGACTGGAGCAGTAGATCATCCCCTCTTGCCCTGACATGTAGCGAAGGGGAAAAAGCAGTGCTCTGGTCTGGAACCCAGCTGCTCCACCAGCCTCAATAACATTTCTCTTGTTCAACAGAGAGTGGCCCTGAGGGTTAACCAAGTCTGCAGGTGCAGAATCGAAACCACCTCACAACTCATCCTCCATCCCAGGCTATCTGCTTACCCAGGCCAGGCCTCCCTTTTTACAGATACAATCCAGAATTCCTGTTTTGGCAGGTCTGTGCCTTTCAGAGTAGAATGTCTGTGGAGCCACCAATGGTCTGGCCCCCAAGTCTCAGCCCTCTGCTCTCTCACCACATAGCCCATCGGAAATGACAACCTCAAGATTTCCCTCAAATTAAGTCCATCTGACTTCAAATTACACTACAAGTCTGTAGAAACCAAAACAGCATGGCAAGGGTGTAGAAATAGACACATAGAGGGTATAGCACAGTGGCAGAGCATTTGACTGCAGAAACAGACACATAGATCAATGGAACAGAATAAAGATACTAGAAATAAAGTCATATGCCTACAGCCAACTGATCTTTGAGAAAGACAACAAATACACTAGGGAAAGGACATTCTTTTTAATAAAAGGTACTGGGAAAACTGGATTGCCATATGAGGTAGAATGAATCTGGACCAATTTAACTTGCCATATACAAAAATCAACTCAAGATGAAATTAAAGATGTAAATGTAGGGCCCAAAACCAAAAATACTAAAAGAAAACCCAGGGAAACCCCTTCTGGACATTTGGCGAGGCAAAAAATTCATGCATAACCAGACTTCAAAAGCACAAACGACATAAACAGAAGTACACAGATAGGACCTAATTAAACTAAATAGCTTCTGCATAGCAAAAAGAAAAATCAACCAAGTGAATGCGTAACCTGAAAAATGGGACAAAATATTTGCAAACTATGTATCTGACAGGGTACTAATATCCAGAATTGACAAAGAACTCAACAAGAAACAAACAAAACATAACAAAACAACAACAAAATCTCATTAACAGTAAGCACAGGACATGAATAGACATTTTTCAAAAGAAGACATATAAATGGCAAACAGGCATATAAAAAATGCTCAACAGGGACGGGCGCGGTGGCTCAAGCCTGTAATCCCAGCACTTTGGGAGGCCAAGGCAGGTGGATCACAAGGTCAAGAGATCGAGACCATCCTGGTCAACATGGTAAAACCCCATCTCTACTAAAAATACAAAAATTAGCTGGGTGTGGTGGCGTGCCCCTGAAGTTCCAGCTACTCGGGAGGCTGAGGCAGGAGAATTGCTTGAATCCAGGAAGCAGAGGCTGCGATGAGCAGAGACTGCGCCATTGCACTCCAGCCTGGGTAACAAGAGCGAAACTCCGTCTCAAAAAAGAAAAAGAAAAAGAAAAAGAAAATGCTCAACATCATTACTCATCAGACAAATTCAAATTAAAACCACAGTATATCCTTATACCGGTCAGAATGGCTATCATTAAAATGTCAAAAAATAATCAATGTTGACCAGGATATGGGGAAAAGAAAAAGCTTACACACTTGGTGAGAATATAAATAAGTACAACCTCAATGGAAAACAATATGAAGATTTTTCAAATAACTGAAAATGGAACTAACATTAAATCCAGCAATACCACTACTAGGCATCTACCCAAAGGAAATCATTATATAAAAACCAGACATGTCTTTTTATCACAGCACTATTCACAATAGCAAAGATAGGGAATCAACCTAAGTGTCCATTAATGTATGACTGCATAAAGAAAGGTCTGTATATACACAAGGTAATATCACTGGGCCACACACACAAAAAGAAACCAAAAAATGAAACTTGTCTTTTGCAGCAATGTAGATGGAACTGGAGACCTTTATTAAATGAAAGAACTCAAAAACAGAAAAGTCAAATACTAAATGTTCTCAATTATAAGTGGGAGCTAAATAATGTGTATACATGGACACAGAGTGTGGAACGACAGACATTGGAGACTCCAAACAAGTGGAAGGCTGAGACGAAGATGAGTGATGAGAAATTATTTAATGGGTACAATGTACATTACTCAGGCGATGGATACATTAAAAACCCAGACTTCACCACTACGCAATATATCCAGATAACAAAACTGCACCTGACTCCTTAAATTTACACAAAAACAAACAACAACAACAACAACAACAACAAAAGAAAAGAAAAGAAAACAGAAAAAAAAACAAGAGACCTCCCTAGTCAATCTGATCCTCAGACCATGCTCTGGCTCAGCCCACGTCCTCCATCCCTTTGATATCTCCAACCCAACCCCCTCCCTCAGACTTCACACCTTTATGACTTCCTGCCTGTGTGACATACCCATCTTGAGACATTTGAGAATCGCCATGTCCAAAATCCAACCTGTGATCTCCCGGAAATCTGCTTTTTGTGCGGACTTCCCCAATTCCGTCCTTTCAAACGTTCAAACAGAAAACAAAATATAAAACCAACAGTTGAAATGGTTCTTCACTGCCTTTGTTCAGACAATTGAAGCACCAGGAAAACCTACCGGCCCTATCTTTCAGGCCCATGAAGAATCCCATCACATCTCCCTCTACTGTCACTGGTCCAGCCCCAACCATAACGTCCCTGGGTCTACTGCAGTGGCCTCAGGGCCTTTTCGCCGGTCTCCCTGGGTCCCTTTTCTCAACCTGTTTTTCCTAAGTTGAAACTTCTACCTCTGGATGTGCCCCCTCCACTGTCCCTCCCTTGACCACCTTCCATGGTTACTGGCTGCTCAGGCTGCCATTCCAAGTGAGATTTCATAAAACTCTCTTTCCCGCAGAAACAACACACACTCCCGGCGCCCCGACACAGCCCACTCGGCAGCGCCTCCATTCCCTGAACCTGAGGTCCCCGACGGGAGCTCTGAGACTGCCTCAAACAGGCTGATCCGGGGGCCCCACACAGGAACGCCCCCCTCTTCGGGACAAGGGGCCTGACCTGCAGGGCCCGCTCTGGGGGGCTTCAGCACTGGGAGAAAGAGTTGGGCAGCGGCGGCTGGGACCGGACACCCACCTCAGTCAGGTTCATCGGCAAGGCCTCCGCCAGCCCAGCCGGGGAAGAGCGGGGCGGGGGCGACAAAGGCAAGACAAGGACGCGCAGTCCCTAGCCCTTGTCAGCTGAACGTCACTCCCCTCTCTGCGGGGTGGGAACCAAGCCGTTTCTCGCGCTTCTCCGCTCCGTCACTTCGGTGACGTCAGAGCGCGCCATAGGCCGGAGCTAGCGAAAACACCAGATAGAACCAAAACGACCACCTCCAGGAGGACGGCGGAAGTCCCGCCCTCCGACGGTGCGCACGCACACACGCACGCACGCAAGTGTCTCCTTCTAAGCCTTCATTGGGTGAGTCGCGCCGCCCAGAGCTGCAGTGTTTTCTGGGTTATGAAGTTTTGACACTGCTTCCTGACTTGACTTAGAGCGTTGGTCAGTCCTTAAATGGCAGGTAAAGAACCAGTGGCATTGTAAGGCGAGCTGGGAAACGGAGTCCCCGACTCCAAAGACAGGACGGGGCTTGGCTTGCTCTTAAAGGTGACAAATGGATATTTTCTTGGATTATAGTGTAGGATATTTACAGAAATGTTAGCAACTTGTTACTTAAGACTCTATTAAGCACAGCTAATTCCAATGACTGCCTGTCCAAAGAGACACACCACACCAAAATGGCACCCTGTCTCTACTCATGCCATATTGTTGTTTTTCAAATACATGTACAGTTATGCTTTTGAGTCTGTTTAGTAAGCTTCAATATATTTGGTCCAGAAGAAGAAAGGAAGAATACACAGGGCTATAGACTGAAATTTCTAGGAAGGATGGCAGGAGACACTGAAGTATACTGAAAGGGTGAAGCTATATCTCTGGATCAAAGAGAAGACATCTTACCTGACTGTAGAGTCAGTGATTGTGCAATGCTTTTATTCTAATAATACTTACATATTCTAATAATACTTATTCATATCTGAGATACTTTCCATTTATTGAAGAATCACAATCATATCTGAAAATGAGAGTGACAGCCAAAATGAGCGATTGAGGCATAAGTCACAAATCATGGAGGTTTATTGGAACAGCCTAAGGACACATCCAGAAAATGTAAGTTACAGAAGTGTCTGTGGCTGATTTTTTCAAAGAGGTTCTTAGGAGGTTTAGTATTTATTATACATTTTCCTTAAAAAGGAAGATGGGTTGGCAGTGAGACAAATGATTACATACATGTGACACTTTAGTTAGTGCCCAGTAAATCTATATTTTATATAAGATAGAGTGAACATGTGAGAGGAAAAGGGAACAGAAAAAGCAGATGGTCTCAGGGAAGGATGAAGGAATAGATAATCTCATCTTCTCTCTGTTCTGTACCTTGAAAGATAAGCTAGTAGTCTTCTGAAAAGGCTGATTTCTATTTAGCCCTTAAGGAAGAAAACCTAGTGATTGTAGTGAGGTAGGGGATATAATGAGGTGTGTCTGACTTCCTATTCCTATATAGTGGTCAGTTCAGCTTCCAGAGTTATTCTAGGGTTCTCATGGCCAAGAGGGCATCCATTCAGTCAGTTAGGGGGTGCTCCGAATTTTATTTTTATTTCTCAAGAGCAGCTGACACATGCCGTTTCCAGACAGGACACTGTCTACCGTTTTCATAATTGAAGCATATACACATCTTATACTCAAGAAAAGGTGTGGAATTCCATGATGTTATCTTCTTTCTCAGAAGTGATTTAAAATTGCACCTGTGTTTACAACCGTGTTTTGCACAGGAACTTGAATTCTTTTCACATACTTGAAACCATTGCTTATTAACTGCTTAAAGGGATAAGTACAGATGATAAAGTGAAAGACTTGCCACAGATAAAAATGAATAGAGAAGCTGTGGGATGATGTGTATTTACTTCTCTAGTAAATGTTCAATGAGCATATATGTACTGGGTTTCAGATCAATGGAAGGTGCATGGGACACACTGGGAATAGGTTTCCCAGCTGCTATGTGTATACAAGGCTGTTCTGTGTTTTCTTAGATTCTGTATTTGTCTGTTTGATATTCATTAATCACAGGGTCAAACTAATAGAACCTAAGTTGTTTACTTCTTTCTTGCAAGTCACTTACTCAAATGCATGAAACTCTGTATAAAATCCCCATCATTCTATTATAAAGACACATGCACATGTATATATATTGTGGCACTGTTTACAATAGCAAAGACTTGGAACCCAAGTACCCATCAATGATAGACTGGATAAAGAAAATATGGTACATATACACCGTGGAATACTATGCAGCCATAAAAAGGATGAGTTCTGCTTCTGGATTCCTTAGAAGGTAAAAAAGAAAAAAAAAAAAAAGGATGAGTTCATGTCCTTTGCAGGGACATGGATGAAGCTAAAATTCTCAGCAAACTGACACAAGAACAGAAAACCAAACGCTGCATGCTCTCACTCATAAGAGAGTGTTGAACAATGAGAACACATAGACACAGGGAAGGATGAGGGGAACATCACACACCAGGGCCTGTTGGGGAGCGGGAGGGCTAGGGGAGGGATAGCAGGGGGTGAGGGGATTGGGGAAGGATAACATTAGGAGAAATACCTAATATAGATGACAGGTGGCAGGGGGATGGATGCAGCAAACCACTATGGCATGTGTATACCTATGTAACAAACCTGCACACGTACCCCAGAACTTAAAATATAATTTAAAAAACCCCAAGCACAAACACTGAAATGTGTTTTTCCTTCCTGCCCATTGGCGATATCTCTACTGCATCATTTTCTGCCACTTTAGTTATAAACATATAGTCCCAGTTATTTTCTTTTCTTTCTGCTTTCTGGTCTCTGTTTGTAATAAGATTTCTTGTGACCTGTGTGGTGTGCAGTGCCTCTTGGGGCAACTGTAACATTAGTCTTTTGATGGCAGTGACCTTTCTGTGTCATTATTAATTATGAATTAAGAGCAGAGCACAGTTCAAGAATATGACCTTAGCTTTGCAGATGCCGCCACTGCCTGGAGCCTTGTAGTATCAGCCGTGGTCAACCCCACCATGTTCTTTGACATTGCCATTGATGGCAAGCCCTTGGGCCATGTCTCCTTCAAGCTGTTTGCAGACAAGTTTCCAAAGACAGCAGAAAACTTTTGTGCTCTGAGCACTGGAGAGAAAGGATTTGGTTATAAGCGTTTCTGCTTTCACAGAATTATTCCAGGGTTTATGTGTGAAGGTGGTGACATCACATGCCATAATGGCACTGGTGGCAAGTCCATCCATGGGGAGAAATTTGATGATGAGAACTTCATCCTAAAGCATACAGGTCCTGGCATCTTGTCCATAGCAAATGCTGGACCCAAAACAAATGGTTCCCAGTTTCTCATTTGCACTGCCAAGACTGAGTGGTTGGATGGCAAGCATGTGGTCTTTGGCAAGGTGAAAGAAGGCATGAATATTGTGGAGGCCATGAAGCATTTGGGTCCAGGAATGGCAAGACCAGCAAGAAGATCACCATTGCTGACTGTGGACAGCTCTAATAAGTTTGGCTTTTGTTTTTATCTTAACCACCAGACCATTCCTTCTGTAGCTCAGGAGAGCACCCCTCCACCCCATTTGCTCACAGTATCCTAGAATCTGTGCTCTCACTGCAGTTCCCTTTGGTTTCTGTGATTTCCTTGTTCCCTTCCATGCCTAGCTGGATTGCAGAGTTGAGTTAAGCTTATTATGATTATGAAATAAAGACTAAATAACAACGACAAAAAAGGATATGACCTGTATTTAAGGATTTTTCCTGAATCTTGTATTGACTTATCAGAATGGCTTGCAAATCCTACATATCAGCTGGTTGTAATACATTATAAAGAATTGCCAGTGGGAGATACATTTTTCTCAGACTGTAACTGGTCATTAAATTATTTATTGGCAACACTAGTTGAAAATCATATCCTCACAAATATGTAGATAATACTTACGATGTCTTAGTCCAATTAGTGTTGCTATAAATGAATACCTGAAGCTTGGTAATTTATAAAGAAAAAAGTGTTTATTTGGCTCAAAATTTTGATGTCTGGAAAGTTTAAAATTGGGCATTTGCCTCTGTGAGGGTCTTCGGCAGTTTCTATTCGTGGTGGAAAACAAAAGGTTGTTAATGGCAAGACCAGCAAGAGAGGTATTGACCAGAAATCATATTGCAAGAGAGGAAGATAGTGGGTGGGGAGAGTTTCAGTCTCCTCTTAACAACCAGCTTTCTTGGGAACTAACAGTGAGAATTCACACATCCTCAAGTGGGAGTATTATTAATGTAGGATCTACCCCCATGACCAAAACACCTCCCGTAAGGCCCCACCTCAAACAATGGAAATTAAATTTCAAGATGAGGTTTGGAAGAGACAAACACCCAAACTATTGCATATGATTTCTTGCACATTCTGGCTGTTGAGAAACCAAAAATGGGGAATGAGAATTAAGTTGCTGGGTTTTTTATGTTCAAGTAAGGAAAAAATTTCTCTCTGCCCCCAATACATAGTCATGAACAAGAAACCACCATTAATTAGAGATAACTTGGGATGCACACCTATGTTTTAAAAGTCAGCTAGTCAGCAATAGCTTCACTCTAGTAATTAACCTGAAACTTAGCCAATCATTGTTAGGCCAAGCTTATCAAATTCTTCCAGTGAGAGTAAGGCCCAGTACTAAAGACAGCCAATCAGTGGCAGCCCCAGGCTGCTAGACAACAAGTAATCAGCAAGCACCTCCTGAGAGTAATCCTGTTTATTAAAGCCAATTGGTGAATAGTTGACAGTTACACTAACACGCCTGAAAGTCCGTCAATCTCTCAATTCTGCTGCTTCTGAAAATCCACAATCCCTGAAGTTCAGACTTCCTAAAAGCCCATATAATAGGCTGGTGGGGTGGCTCATGCCTGTAATCCCAGCACTCTGGGATGCCAAGGCAGGCGGATCATGGGGTCAGGAGTTCGTAGACCGGCCTGACCAACATGGTGAAACCCCTTCTCTACTAAAAATACAAAATTAGCCAGGGATGGTGGCCCATGCCTGTCAATCCCAGCTACTTTGGAGGCTGAGGCAGGAGAATCACTTGAACCCGGAAAGTGGAGGTTGCAGTGAACCAAGATTGCACTACTGCACTCCAGCCAGGGCGACAGAATGAGACTCCATCTCAAAAAAAAAAAAAAAAGCTCATATAATATCAGCTTTGGCTTTATTTAAGGAGACTGACAACTACAGCTCTGCCCTGCAAAGAACATCATCACTTTTTTTCCCTTAAGATATCAAAATCAATTTATTCTTAA